TTTTTTTTTTTTTTGCTTCACGGGCCGCGGGTTAACAGCGACCCATGAAGCCTAAACCCGCGAAACCCGCGGGTCACAACTCTTTGGCCCGTGAACCGCCCGCACGGGTCACGGGTCGGCCCGCGGTCCCGATTTTCACGGGTCATGGTCGGCCCGCCCGTCTTGACACCTCTAGGTGGTGGCGGCGGTTTGGGGATTTTTTAGTGGGGTTGGTGGTTGTAGTGTGTCTGAGATGAAGATAGATGGTGGTTGAGGTTGCGGGGTGGTGGAGGTGGGCAATTTGTGAGTATTTGTGCTAATCTGTGTGTGTTCTGTGATTTTTTGCGGTGGTGGGAACGGAGGTTACTAGTGGTGCGTTGCGTTGCTATGGTGGTGTTTGACGGTAGTGCTGTATGCGGTGTTGTGATGATGGTCGTGGGTGGGATGACATGGACATGGGTGTCTGTGACCAATTATTTGGTTGATTGTGACCAATAATTGGTTAATTTTTGACAAATTAATAATGTATGGCCTAAAAATTGTGACTGTAACTCATATTTTATTAAGTNATTTGTGACCTAAAAACTCACAATTTATTAAGTTATAACCGAATTGTGACCAATAAAAGTTTCATTTTGTGATTGATAAATAATTTGTGATATATGAAATTATTGACCAAAAAAGAACGCGTGACTTAAAAAATTGTTAATTTGTGACCGATGATTTGATAATTTGTGACTTCTAATATTTGTGACTTGTGACCTATAAATAAATTGTGACGTTTCAATTTTTGACTTGTGATCGATGAACAAATTATGACTTATAAAATTTTTGAATTATGAAGTTAAAAAAATTTGTGGTATATAAAATTTGTGACTGGTGACCAATGAATACGTGACTTACTAATTTTATAAATTTGTGACTAATGAAAAAATTGTGACCTATAAAATTGTTGATTTGTCATTATAATATAATTTGTAACCTATAAAATTTTTTATTACGATCGAAAAATAATTTTTGACCAATTAATTTATAATTGGTAACCAAATTATATGGAATTGTGACCTTAATATATGTTTAATTAATTAATTTATAAATAAAATTTAGAAATATTTGAAATTTTAAACTTAAGTTATGTATTGTTCCCTTAGATTAATACACTTAAAACAAATTAAACATCTTATAATCGTAATTAATATGTCTTAACAAAACCTAAAATCTTCCAACTGAGTACAAGACCACAATTCCGTCATTTTTGTAGAGAGAAACCTTAATCACCCACAATGCAAAGTCATTTCACTTACACAAAGAAGAAGCATCACCCACATGAAGAATAAGGTGATTCGCCCATTGATAAAAGGCTTCATCCACATGAGAAATCACGTCAAAAAAAAAAATAAAAAAATTGTTGATCACTTCAGTTTTGGCCGATTTAACAGCTTTCTGTAATTTACCAGAAGTTAATTTTGGAGGTTGTTACATTCTAAAGTTATAGGATGCCTTGTATTGTGAAACTGAGATCCACAAAATGAAATAGATTACCTGGAATACGTGAATCAAAATGGCCATATTATTGCAGAATAATCAGGTCCTTGAAAAGGGAAATTTTAATTTAGTTATCTGAGCGCTAGAAATTGGGATTTCTCTTCGCAGTAGAGAAAATTTTCCAAATGCAGAAATGGATGAATTTATTTTTGGGTTCTTGATCCTTTGAGCATTTAGAGGACACCAGAGAATGTATAGAGTTGTCAAATATTTGAAATTCATTTTCTGGAATGAATTCCGAGCATTTACATCTTCAGTTGTTGTTTATTTGGATTTATGGTGATAGAAATATAAATGATTGTATTATTATCAATGAGTATTAAAATTTGTGGGCAAGGTTGGTTGTCTCAAGTTTTTCTGAACTTCTTGACTTTCTCCGAGTTCCATTTTTGAAATTATTTTTGAATTTTGCATATATTGGAGATCCATTTATTGGCTATATTTTAAGATTTTGATTGGTGTTTTGTTACTTTTTTCTTCCTGTTTGTCACTTTTTTAGCGTTTATTACTTTTTTTGGATTTCTGTCCTTTTTAGTGTTTGTCACTTTTTATTTTTTCAATTTATATCATTTTTTAAAAATTTTTGTCACCTTTTTTTTATTGTTTGTTACCTTTTTTGAATTGTCACTTTTTTAAGTGACAAATATCACTTTTTAATAAAAGTGAAATGTATGTTACTTTTATTTTTTAAAAAAAAGTGACACTAAACTTTACACAATATTTTTTACTTTCAAAACACTTTTCATATGATTTTTCAAAATGCGTCAAATTTTCGGGGTATTTTTGTAAGTTGCCCTTATTTGTTAATACTCGGGCCACTCAAAATTATGTAAAACTACAAAACGATCCTTGGGCCTAGACGGGCAGGCATATGAGTCAACCAATGCACCCTTCCAAGCAACCCAATATAGAAAAATCAATCAGAAGGTAGATGAATGCAAACAAGAAAAAGTGTGGATTGGGTCGATGGAGGAACCCGTAGGAAGGGGGGACGACCCTTGAGAATGAGAATCACAAAAAAGAGTATGTTGCCATTTTGAAAAGATTAAGGTGCAAAAGGAGCACCGAAGCTGAATGCCGGGGCTTGGAAAGCAAACTAAAGCCCTATCTATAACGTCATACTCTAAAATTTACTATTTTTATCAATTATTAAAGAAATTTTCCTCGAAGAAATCATGAATTTTCACCTGTGCAATCTCATACGCCACACAAAATTGAGACTTCTTGTACTTCAAGAACACAAGTTAATGAATTTATTGAATTTCTCGTACATCTGTCCTTCATAATTGAATGATTACTTGACACGATTTTTAGTTTTTCTAGAAGAGTTTCCTGNGTTCTTTTTGTACAAACGTAGACGAGAATAAAGATAGAGTCCCATTGTACATGTCAAATTCCGGAACTATGGGCCTAGTTGAACTACCTTGATGATAAACAGACTTGGGACAGAAAATTCTTACTCTAAATTTAATTTCTAGACTCGAAGATGATTGTCTCTTTTCTGAAACGATATTGTCGGAGGCTACGTACTTGATGCATGGCTCTTCCACAACATAAAGCATGCTGGTTGAATGTTGTTCTAATTTGTGCATTATTTGTCTATTACTCGTTCACTTATAACTTTCCGAGACAAAAATAAACATGTTTAGAATCTTGTCCTAATTTTTCTCAAGATGACATCGGAAATGCATTTGTAGATATTTTGGATCATTAAGGATCCCATAGATATTACTGATAGAAACCAAATACAGTACAAGAAAATACCCTCTAAACTAAACCAAATACAGTACAAGAAAATACCCTCTAAACTAGTCAACTCATCATCGGCCTCCAGAGAGAAGACAATTTGTAACCGAGGAAGTTTGTGTAAATACTGTTTGAGCAGAAGAAGAAGAAGGATACGACCACAAGGGGATATCATCACACCCTTCATCATTTTGTGCAAATTTTAGGCCACTTGAAGACAATTCTGGGGGAGCCAATGCGCCTTCAAGATACAGCATAACTTGACGCATACTAGGCCTAAATTTCGGCTCTGAATGAGAACATAGCAAACCAAGCTTTAATACTACTTCCATCTCCTCTATTACGTAATCGTTACCTAAATTTGGGTCGACTGCTTGGAATATGTCACCTTGGTTCAAGTAGGAAAACACTTGATCTACCAAAATTAGATCATGAGAGGCAGCTTTGGGATCGATTGGCCTTCTCCCGCACGCAACCTCAAGCAAAAATGCACCGAAAGCATACACATCAGTGCTTGTTGTGGCCTTCCCAGTTCTATTTTGCTCGGGGGCAAGGTACCCCAGTGTCCCAACCACGTGAGTCGTCTGATGGTTAGATCCATGATCGTACAATCTTGCAAGCCCAAAATCACCTAATCGTCCGTTTAATTCCCCATCTAATAATACGTTACTTGCCTTTATGTCTCTATGGATCACTACTTGTTCCCATTCTTCGTGTAGGTAAAGTAATCCAGATGCTACGCCTTTGATGACTCGAAATCTTTGGCCCCAGTTGAGGGTAACCTTTGGTTGGTCATGAATGTACTTGTCTAGGCTTCCATTGGACATGTATTCATAGACCAAAAGAAGTTCACTTTTACGCCTGCAGTATCCCAACAGTGGCACCAAATTCCGGTGGCGTAGTCGACCCATGCTTGCAATTTCTGCCACAAATTCTCTCATCCCTTGTCTTGATTCATGAGACACCCTCTTAACAGCAATCTCAACTTTAGATCTAGGCATCACACCTTTGTATACTTTTCCAAATCCACCCCTACCCAGTATCTCCGTATCTTTAAACCCTTTAGTGGCCTTGTACAAATCTTTAAATTTGAACCTCTGAGGAGAGTAATCACGCTCCCACTCTTCAAGCACTTCGGCAAATTTCCTCAGCCTATTGACATAACAAACTACTCCCCATATGGCTAGTGATACTGAAACCACAGTAATCACCGGCACATACACGGTCAAAACCTTCGATATCTTCTTGGGACCCACACGAGGTAGTTTAGGAAGTCGAGAGAGATCAAGTGGTTTAGCCATACCATTGATCTTGAAACTCCATCCAAGAACATAATGGGTAGTTATTTGTATAGGCCCAGTGGCTGAGGAAAAGCCAACAAACATCGTTGGTTTTAAGACAGATGATAAATCATAGGATTGCTGCAGAAGAGCTCTATTTGGCTTGGAATTATGCAGTGGAGCTAATGTAACAGAGATTTGCTTCTCTATACCATCATATTCAACCCAAAGTTGCATCGGATGACCACTGTTAAGCGTCAAGTTACGAAACAAATCCGGGTTATCCCAATACCCTGATGTATGTGAAGATATGGATTTCAGCCCATTAATATCAATCCCAACATGGTTATCATCGATATCTTCAACTTCAACATTCTTGATTGTATCAAGTTCTACTCCAAATATATGGTTGGAAGAATTGCCGTTGTTGGTTTTATTGAATAGGCCGAAGTATGATGATGCATTGGCTTCTTCAAAGCTTTTGCTTGGCGAAAGCACGAAAATAATTCCCTGACCTCCCAATTCTTGATAGCCAGACACCATTGCAAAAACAAAGTATGCAGAAAAGGAAAAAGCCGAGGCATTTGAGGATTTCTTGAATTCAATAGGATCGGGAAAAAAGGCATGACCTTTCTCTTGTATGGTGGCATTGTTTAGTTCCAAGAGACCGTTGGGAGTGATCTTTGCCAAGCCATCGAGGCTCAGATTTGCCGATCGAAATCCATTGTAGGAGAATTCATCGACAGATTTTGAGGTTGTAAGAAAACTGCTAAGAATGTAAAAAATCAGTGCTGCAAGTTTGAGAGGGACCATGGCTGAATCTTGGAACAAAGGATTCTTGCAAAGTCTATGCTATGATGTTATAACCACTACTATAATTTTTAATGTTGTATTTATTGCTCATGCTGTCAACATGGTACGATTCATTTACTTTGGTTGTATGTATTAATCACCACACAGTAAGGTGGTTCTTTTTCTTGTTGAGAATTAAATTTTTGGATTTTCCAAAGAAAAGGGCTTAACAAATGAGATTTGATAACTCACCCTATGAACTTGAATGACGTGTTTTGCAAGGAGAACTTGACACGACTAATACTTATCGGACATGGTCTAATACTTCATATTCGATGTGCTGTCAATGAATTGGATACAGAAGCAATAATTCTTCTGATATAATATTGCCTATAGGTGGCTTGTCACATTTAACGTACTAAATTTCTATTAACCGTGAAATATACACATCGATATAGGAAGATGGACAAGGTAATCTTGCAAAACGAAAGTGACTGAAAGCAGTCATTCATACCCGTGAACAACGGATTTAGCTGGGAATTGGATAAAGTTGGACAGTTGGTCCTCTAAAATTGAAAAAGAAATCTGTGAAAGAGCATTATTGTGAGGCAACGAGCTTCCTTTTAGTCGATCAAGAGCTTGATCTCACTAAAAATAAATAAATAAATAAATAAATCGATCTATTTCCATATTCTTTATTGAGGGTGAGAATCACAAATTCAAAAAATCAAAAGATTAAGAGTACCTTATTTATGAATTAAAAAAATTATTTCTCAACCTTACTTTTTCAACCTTATTCATAAATGTTTTCAACCAGTCTGAATTCTATGCATTAAATTACATTGAACTTACGCGTCATTTGGAGTTTTTGGTGTTTCTTAGGGAAACATCATAGGCTGATGTTGTGGGGCTGACAGCAGAAAGAAAGATAATGGAAGAGATGACTGGGGAAGTTCCACAGGATGCATTTATAAATTATAACCATGGATTTTCAATCCAATCCGCCAAGAATCGGTTAATACTTTATGAGCTTTCTACCAGAACTAAACTATGTATTCTCGTGATTGAGAAATAATAATGTATAAAGAAAATGCTCTATGTTACTTTTTTAGTTGAGAAAAATAATCTATCACTGGGAAAACTTTTATTGGAAATAACTTTTGTGCAATTAGTGTGGATAACAATTAAAGAGCGCGCCACACTTAGATGACACTAATCACGGCTAAACGTGTGTTGTACGTTACTTTGAAATGCTTTACAAACACTGTAAAAATGATATTCAAAAATCAGTGAATATAAAAAATAATTTAAAAAATTGTTTATGTGAAATGAACTTTTTATATAATTTAATTATTTATTTACACGTATATATATATATATAATTCAATCAATTAATTTTTCAAGTTTATGCATGTACACTTTATATATTTTGGGGACTGTTCAATTACTCTATGAATACTGCAATTCAATTATTTATGTATGTGCATGTATACCAATTAACATTTATTTATGAATATATTGAATATAACATTAAGTCATCAAGTTCATGTACACATATTTTGGGAGTTATTCAATTATTTTAGGAGTAAATAAATTATTCAAATTCATGTACACATATTTATTTTCAAGATTATTCATTTTATTATATATTATTCTAAAAGTACATAAATTATTAAAGATCATATAATTTAGGAGCTATTCAATTATTACAGATGTAGATAAATTATTCAAATTCATGTACACTTATTTAATTTCAATATTATTTATTTAATCTATGATATTACGTCATTTGTTTAAATGTATATATAAAGTATCCAATTTCTATATTCATTGATTCAAATTAATTAAATTCAATGTTGGTTCATACATACCCCTTTGTTTAAATGTATATAAATTATTATTTTTCTATATCTATTAATTTAAATTAATTAAATTTCATGTTGGTTCACTTGCACCCCATTTGTTTAAATGTATATACATTATTCTTTTTCTATATTTAGTGATTTATATATAGTGGTAAATCTCGATTTTGGACTTCTGCTCGACGAAAAGTCTTCCATTACCCAGTGGAGTAGGTTTAATAATCAACAATCACCTCAACATATCTTATACATTGGTAAATCTCAATTTTGGATTTCTGCACAACAAAAAGTCTTCCATTGTCCAGTGGAGTAGGTTTAATAATGAACAATCACCTCCACAAGTCTATCTCCGTGAAACCTTTTCAGTAGTTATATCATTATGTGACTATCGGTCGATATCGCTACAAGACTTGATTCAACTTTGGCTTACTTCCAGTCTTTGAATTTCTGCTTGTTGCCAGTTTAGAGTCTGTTTGACAATTATTATTTCAGAAAAAAAAATGAGTTTTGAATAGTATTTTTAGGAGAATGCATGATTAACCCTCAGGACCACTGAGGTGAGTATCTAGCCGTAAACCTGAAAGTCCCGTGAGATTAGTCGAGGTGTCCGCAAGCTGACCCGGATATCCACGGTTATCAAAAAGAAAATGCATAGTTAAAACGTAAGAAATTTTTTGGCATGTGTACAGTTATAAAATAATGCACTTAAACACATCGAAAATGATTTTGTAACAAAGCAAGATATTTTGTAAATATTGGTCTTTTAACAATTATGATGGCCTATTTATTTAAATTTTTCCATGAAAACTTCACCTTCACCTTTTCACTGAACTCATATCGTATTGGTCGGAGTTTAAATAATTAGAGAACTGGCCCTGAGAGAGAGAAAGCAATTCAAATTAGTAGGTGTTGAAAAAAGCATGCAATTGGGAATATAAAATATTATTTTGCACCAAGCTGCACAGATCATGTCAACTGTTGTAATAAATAGACACAAGCTCTACCTTAGTCAATGCTTGAACTCAATAAATGGTGAGTAGTTCTTCAGCATTTTTGTGTTTTCATGTTACATTTTCATATTCTAAATCTTCAAAATTGGCCCTTGATGGGCCTCCAAATATTGACAAAGGCACACAGCAATATTATGAGATTTACCTAGATTGAGTCTAATGGTCTGGTCATTGTCAGGCTTGAGCAAACCATTGTTGTTGGTCAATATAGCCCGATTCTCAGGTTGGTTTGTGGTGGTTAGTTAATTGGATTGGCAATTGAATTGACAAGTGCAGTTAAAGAAACTTACATCATGTTTCCTTATGATTACACAGATTTTACAGCTTCTTTATATTTCTAATAAATATGACAACAGCATGAACCTGACCACTACACGCTGAAATTCATAAAGGTAAATCAGGCCTCCATGATCTTCGCCCCAAAGCCAACGCATGAGTTCAGTGCTTTCCATTAACCGCTCAATTCTTCTGCTCAATGAGATCCATATATGGGCTTGGGGGCAGGGCTGGGCTATAGCTCAGCCTAGGCCCCCACTACCTCCGTCCCTGAAAGTGGTTGTATCTTGAAATTCGAATTTCATTTCCATTTTCGTATCAAACAGTCAAAGTAAAAATTGAATTCCTCCAATGTGATATTTTTCATAAAATTTAAATCAATCAAATGGATCCTAAAAGGAAAAAAAAAAGTATATTTCTTGCATTTAAACAATATCATCTAAAATGACAATTTGAATCTTGAATTGCTTTACTCTTTTCATTATCAATCTCTTTCTCTAACTATAAGAGAGAATTATTTTAGAACCTTTCATTTTAGGCGAATAAATTGGAGACAAAGAAGTGTCTATGTTCTCAGCGAAAAGCTTGGTAAATATGGGTTATCTATGAATTCTTGAATATGTATTTGGTTAATTTCTACTTTTGATTTATGGGCAATAGGGTTGTGTGTATTTGTATTTTTAGTTCTGTTTATAGCTGTATTTTTTTTTTTGCATTTTCTAGTCAGCAATTTTCTGGCTAGTGTTGTCTAAGCACCGGAGAATGGTGGCCGTCGGATGCTGATTTTGGGTTTGAGGTGGGGGAAGGGGTGGGGGTGAGGAGAAGAAGGCGATTGTGTTTTTTTTTTAATTTCTCATTTTTGTAATTTAATTAGTTTAATTATTTAATGTGATAAATATAAAGTTACTCTTTTACCCCTTTTTAAAATATTAAAAATGTGGTCAAAGTTAAATTTTTGATCAATTGATGGAATTGTGGATGAAAACTATCCAAAGAGTTTCACCTGCAACGTTTGGAAATGTTAGGGATGACGATTGTAATAAATTAATAGTTTGGAGAAAGTTTGCTAATGTTTCGAAGGTTCAAGAGGCTTTTGCTACAATTATCTTATCTTTTAATGACAGAAGTGAAAAAGATCACAATTTAAGTTTTTCATTTAAAAGACTTTTACAGGTCAAATGTCTAAGTTAACTTCATTGAAAATGAGTGTATTTGGTGTTTCTGCTACGATTATGCATCAACATGATATTGTCTCTATAATTATCATTTTATTTGTTTATTTTTTTTTCAATAAACTAATATTTATTGCTATATAATTTTGGAAATTAATTTATGCATGTACAAATAGATATCAACAATCTAACACTAACAAATACACACCTTTCTTGTGAATGGATGCAGCTCAGAACATATTTGAAGAGAAGGTCAAGAGTACAAGTACTACCTCTTGCTGGTCTAACTGAGAAACTGGGAATCGCGGAAATCAGTTTGGTAATAGAGTAAAAAAAAAAAGAAACTTAGAAACCATGAACATAAGCACCATATCATACAGGTCGTTCACCCCCATATTTTGCTTTTATTTTAGCATAGGTTCAACCCTCTGAACCTTGACCTTTTTATGAGGTCGATGTCCAAGCCAATTTCTTAAATATTGATGTTTAGGCATTATTTTTTAAGCAAAAGTGAAACCCCCTTCCTTCCCTTACTTTTTAACTAATTGTCGTGGCGGGGCCTATGACCAACTATTTGGTCGATTTGTGACCAAGTATTGGTGGTCGAAAGTGGCCATAGTGGTAGTGGCGGTAGTTTGTGACCAAATGTTTGGTAATTTGTGACCAATTACTCAACTGTGACCTAAAAATTTAATAATATG